CTCCCCAGCCTCCTGTCCCCTGCTTAGTGCTCCTTTAATTCCATTATTATTCAGTGTTCCAGCAACTTCCCTGGCCTTTTCTTCCCTTATACTGAAAGAATTCTTTGTTGTTCCAGATAAGCTTTGCAAGCTATTTCTGTGCTTTTCTGATGCATCTCCCTTGCAAGAGCTTGTGGTCCTTTCTGTCCTTTTAATTTGGGCAAGGCTTCTATTTACTGAAGGAAGATTTCTGCTCTCTAATATAATATCTTGAAGCTCTTTGAAGTGATTTAGACTTCTTGGTTCCCTTCTTCAGCTACTTTACCAGCTGACGGCTTTTGGGTGCCAGTCGAAAATGGTCGGATGTGCCCAGGAATTCTGTTGTGGCCGGTCTTGAGCGGGGCTTTGGGTGCCCTTCTGGGTGGATGTTTTTCCCCAGAGGGGCTCCTTCGTGTGCTTCAGATCCTGCAGCTTTTAGTGTGCGGTTTCCACAGCGTGTGATCTTAATGGGTCACCGCCATTCATGTTGTGCTCCTGCTGAGACGCCTCAAATTCCCTGGGGGTGGTCTGTGCCGGGGTGTTGAGAAGGCAGGCTGGGACTGGGAGATCCCGTCTGTGAAGCTCCATGGGAGGCCTTGGGGCAGGCATGGACTCGCGACGGAGCCTACCTCAAAGGGTTGTTGTGAGGATGAAGTAGCGAGCAGGAGGAGGATGTGCATCCTCTTGAGCTTCTTGCAAGAGGGAAGAAGGCGGGATGGAAACAGAACAGAGAGAGGGCGCAAATGTGTTGCCGAACTTGCGCTTTCGTGGACCCGAATGCAGGCGGGTGGGTGGAGATTGGCGCTTGCACTTAACTGCCCTCCGGCGTCCTTAGGCCGGGTCCTGGCTGCGGAGGTCAGGCAGACCTGCACCTCCCTCGGCTTTGCTCAGCGTTTGGCTTCCAGGAGCCGATCCTGCCGATGGGCGCAGCTGGCTGCTCGGAGGGCTGAGCGGTGGCGCGCCAAATGCGCAGCCGCCGCCTCTTGCAGGGCCCTCCCTGTTGGGCTGCCGCCAGGGGAGCCACGCAGGCCGGGTCTCTGCAGGGTGGGGGCGAGATGCAGTGGCTGAGGAGGGCCCCACTCCAGCCGCGGGCCAGGAAGCCTTCTGCTGCAGAGCACAGAGGGGGCACCGCTGCCAGCCGGGGGCCCCGTGGGGCCCTGCTCTGCCTGGGGCTGCTCCCGAGGCCCTGTGTGTGCCCCCTTGCCAGTCACGGTTGGGGGGCAGCTGCGCTGGGGGCCCGCTCTGGCCCCAGATGGAGAAGGGGAGGAGAAGGCTTCCCAGTCCACACAGCCGCGACTGGGGCGAGTTGGGGAGCAGAAGAGGTGGGAGTCGTCGAAGCAGACACCCAAAATCCTCCAGATGAGCGATGCATGCCCCGTTGCCCCTCGCAGGCAGGACGGGAGCCAGCAGCGAAAGCGACGGTCTTGCTGACCGTCCATTTCCCTTCAGAAATGCTGCTGTGCCTCCTGCCAGGGGCTCCACTTAAAAGGTGCGATGGATTAATCATGCTTTTGGGTGCGCAAGAACAAGCCAAGAATCTCTGCGAAGTCTATCAGTAAAGCGGGTTTGAGCTGCCAGCAGACCGCCTGCTAATACAGAGCCCCAAGAGCCGAACTGAGCCGGGGCTGAGCCACCCCAAAGCAGCGCTCGCCCCTGTTTGGGAGCAGATTGCCCCATGGTTCCCCTGCGGGACGTGGCTTGGGCAAGTCACGATGCTCTGAGGGCTAGCCTGCAACATTGGCTGAGAAATAGCTGCGGATGCTCTCCGTTGAGATTTCTTGGCTGAGACCTTTTAAATACTTGTTCCAACTGGTTGATGACACACAAGGCTGGATTGCCTAGAAAATCATGGCCTTTGCATATGCAGTAAAAGATGGAAAATATATAACTTCAGCTTATATGTGGAAGGATGAGCTTTGTAACTTTAATAACTTTGGTTAAAGAAATCAGAATGAACCATAGTTAAAATGGCAGATAGCTAAGAGTATAGAACTAAGGAATCCAATGTCATATCTACCAGATATCAGATATAAATTGCTGCAGATGAGAATAAAGGAAATTATTTTAAGTTAACACGGGAAAGGGTGTTAGGAACGGACATCCCTGTAGACCAGTGGAGATGCCTTTTTAGCAGACCGAAAATCTTCCTCTGGCCCACCGGCTGAGTTGACCTGGGTGTCCAGTGCACCCCGCCAGCGCAGGTGTACCGCAAAAACCGGCCGAGATGGGGAGAAGCGGCGGGGGGGGGGGGCGATCCTTACACTTGGCGAGCTTGCCAAAGACCGCCTGGGAATTTCTGGGAAGCGGATCGGGATGATGGGCCTTCCTGTGCCTTGCCACCCCTGGGCATCCGCTGTGGGCCTCTTTGGGTGCCCCTGCGGGCCTGCGGCGCCCACCCCTGGCTGGGGCACATGAACCTGGGAGGGCAGAGGGGCTGCAGCGGAGTGCAGACGGGTGCCTGATGGGGGCGGTGGGCCTCGTGGTGAGGTGCCACGCCACGAGGCTGGGGACGGGGTTTCCCGCTCTGGACCAGGCCCATGTCCTGGGGAGCCGCCCCGTTCTGTGCCGATGTTCCCGGACATTCCCAGGCGGCCGCACGCTTTGCTGTGCCAGGAAGACGCCGCCTGGGCGCCAGCACCCAGGTGGCACCCTGGGGCTGGGGACAGGGTGCCTGTTCTGTGGGGAAAGGAGGCCTGGGCGTGGGGAGAGGGGAGCACGGCGAAGGCACCCTGCCTGCCCTCCTCCCCGTTACGCTGGAGGGGGGCAGGCAGAAGCAGCCAGCTGGGGGGTGCGAGGAGCCCCCGCTGAGAGCGGGCCGCCTGGCGCGGCTCTGCGTGCCTCACCCGCCCCCCTCGCAGGCAGGGCAGCGTCCAGCCGGCACCGCCACTCTCCCGTGCCTTTCCTGCCGCGTCGCCCTCCTTTCCTCTCCTCGGGATCGGCTCCGTTGGCTTAGGAAATGGGGAATAGCTGCCCGTACGGAGCGGCTGGCAGTGCAGGGGTCTCTGCTCGCGGTCTGGCCACGCTCGCGAAGTGCCCCGAGCGCGGCAGAGCGCGCAGGAGAAAGCCTCAGAAGAGCATGCGAGGGCCCTGCTTGATCGGGCCCTGGGGGCCCCAGGCCGGGGAAGGGTGCAACAGCCCCTCCCCGTGGGCTTGCCCAGCTGGCGTCCGTGGATGCCTCTCCCCCACTGCCAGAAGCAGCATCCCTCCCAGGGCACCTGGCGGAAGTGGCTCCCGTTCTTAACGCTGCCCTGCCTTTGATCTCGCTGAGACCTCCCCCCACTCGGCGTCCTGGGGGGCCTGCTGTGAGCCCCAGTTAAATGAGAGCGGGTGGAGGCTGCCTCTGCCCGGGGAACATCAGCCTGTCCACACCGGCTCACCTGTGCCCCCCAGCACCTGGCGGGCAGAGGCAAGCGCCTAGCAGGGACGTCTTGATGACTTCGGGGCCCTTCCCAGGTAGCCACCTCTCCCAGGTGTGGTGACGGAGAGGTGCCCTGCAGAGCCAGGCTCTTCCTCAACTCGGGAATCCTGGGGTGGGATATAAGGGCTTTACAGGGGCCTAGTTGTTACCTAAGAATTGCAGGGATTTCTCACCTTGTTATGAGATTTCTGTAGAAGTTGGGAGGACAGCTGCTGAGGCCTTCCCCGAGCGTCCGCAGCGTGGCCACGAGATATTTCGCCACCGGCGCCCTTCGAGACCGGTGACCGCTCATGCCGCCTCTTGTCTTTGCGCAGGTCTCTGGAGGCGTGGATGAGGTGCGCCCCCGTGGCCTCTGCCGCTGACGAACGACTTTCCATGGGCAGCTCTGCCACGGCGGCAGACCCGGAGAGCACCGCGGATCATGGCTAGCCCCCCCAAGCTGACCGGAGAAACCCTGATCGTGCACCACATTCCCCTGGTGCACTGCCAGGTCCCGGACCGCCAGTGCTGCAGCGCCAGCAAGCGGACCAACCCCTTCTGCCAGCCCGACCTGGGGCTCGCCCGGCCCGGCCCGGCCCCCGAGCGGGACTTCTTGCAGGCCGACTCGTTGCTCTACAGCAGCTTGCTCCAGGCGGCGAGCACAGACCTGGCCCCTGTGAAGGCAGCCGGGCACACGGAGGGCCAGCCCAGGGAGCTGACCGCCAGGCGGCAGAATCCGTTCCTGCAGAGCGGCGGCGGGCCCCCGGAGCCGGGCCCCGAGGACCTGGGCCAGCGCTCCTTCCGCCTGCATGGCGGCCGAGCCAGCCTCCCCCCACGCGAGCGCGCCCTGCCCCCCTTCCGCCTGCACGACGCAGACCCCACGGGGAAGCCCTGGAGCGCCGCCAGCCGCTTCGACGTGGTGGAGGGCCGGGAAGAGACGCGAGCCGGCGATGAGCCCAGGAAGGGCAGCGGGCCAGAGTGCATGGAGCTGGACGAGTACGGCGGCCCCCCAGGCAGCCTGTCCAGCTGCTCCTTCGAGCACGAGTGGGCCGCCGACCCGGACGAGCTGCTGCTGCCCGACCTGGAGGCGGGCCGCAGCCGGACGTGCAGCTGCTCCAGCTCCGAGCCGCCGCGCTGCCGCTGCTGCAGCCTCTCGAGCCCGTCGGAGCCGCCGGACCAGCAGATGGGCTGCCTCAGCGACTCCTCCTGCAACAGCTCCGACGGGGTCCTGGTGAACTTCAGCGCCCTCTACGACAAGGCGAGCGGCCGCGCCCGGCCCTGCCCGGCCCCGGGCAGCCTCTCCTGCAACTCCTCCTCCGGCAGCCGCTCCGACTCGGCCGCCTTCTACCTCGACCTGCACGCGTCGCCCGAGGAGCCCGGCACGTCCTGCGAGTCCAGCCCGCGGGGGGGCGGCCCGGGGAGGGCCTGCGGGTGCCACCGCCCCCCCTCGCCCCTGCTGGACGCCAACTGCAACTCCTACCCGGCCCTCTGCGAGCCGGGCGCCTCGGAGGGCTCCGACCTGAGCGCCTGCTTGCAGAGCAAGGCCCGGCTGGTTGTGGCCACACAGAACTACTACAAGCTGGTCACCTGTGACCTGTCCTCGCAGTCCTCGCCCAGCCCGGCCGGCTCCTCCGTGGCCAGTGGCTCCGAGGAGCGCCTGCGCGGCAGCCCGCTCCAGCCCACGGAGTACTACCTGTTCGGGCGGCCGGGGGGCCCGCCCGAGGAGAGCGACTCGGAGGGCTCCCGGGAGGGGCCGCAGGGGCCGGCCACGGACGAGGCCCTCGAGGGGCAGGTGTACGTCAACGTGCCCCCGCCCGCAGCCGCGGCCGGGCGGCAGCGCTCCCGCAGCTACGACCGCGGCCTGGAGCGCAGCCCCGCCGGCCGGCTGGGCACCCTGGAGCGCTTGCTGAGCTGCCCGGTGAAGCTGAGCCAGCCGGAGCTCATCCCGGACGCGCCGCCACCCAAGCGGGTCACCTCCTTTGCCGAGCTGGCCAAAGGCCGCAAGAGGAATGGCTCCTCGCCGCCGCTGCCGGCCGGCCGGGACCCGTCCCTGGAGTACACCGCCATCCCGGAGTACCAGGACAGCCCCGTCTTCCGGGAGGAGCCGCCGCGGTCCAGCCAGAGCCTGCCCCCCATGCCCTTGGCTCGCTCGCTCCACCGCAGCTGCGAGAGCTACCGCCGCCCCGAGTGGGGCCACAGCGCCTCCCGGCAGAACGGGGGCCCCAGGGAGGTCCCTCCCTGCGGGCCGGCGGCCTTCGAGCAGCCGTTCTTCTCAGCTCCCGCAGAAGCAGGGGCCAGTTCTGCCAGCAGCCACGGCCAGAAGGACGCCCGAGCCCGTGCTGACGGTAAGTCTCCCCCGGATCCGGGGCAGAGTTCTCGACCGGCTTCCTGATCATGGCTGGGGGTGGCGGGGGAGCTGCAGGGCTGCTCTGGGGGAGAGGTGCGCCCTTGTCCGCGGCTCGGATTTGCTCGGCCTGCCCTCCTGCTGGAGGAGGGCTCCCACGGGGATGTGCTGGGAGGGGCGAGGGGGTCCCCCAGGCGACCGCTCGGCCCGGAGCCGCCCGGTGCCCGGGGCTTGCGCCCGGGTTGCCTTTCTCTGCGAAGCGAAGCGAGAGGATGCGCCAGCCACAGGCCCTTCTGGCCCCCAGGGCTGGGCCCGGCTGCCAGGCAGCTCTCAGGCAGGTTGCAGTAACGTGCGGACACGTCCTGCCAGGGGACTTCTGGCCGAACTGGAGGCCCGGTCCTGCTTGGGACGCTTCACGTGTGAGTGGCACATGCTCTGCGTGGGCAGGGAGAGGCCGGGGGAGGAATCCAAAGATGACTGGGCACAATTCGGGAAATGGCCCGGGCCCTGTTCTGATGTGCTGGAAGCATCGGCTTGGGTCCCCGGGCCAGAACGGGCCCAGAAACGCCCAGCCCCTTGTGCTCTTGCTGCTGCTGGCTCAGGCGTGCGTGCGTGCGAGAGAGAGAGAGAGAGAGAGAGAGAGAACGCGCATGCGAGCGAGCTGCCGGTTCCGGGGCAGCTCCTGGCGGGCCAGCATCCCTGCGAGGAGGGCGCTGGCGGGGCAGGGGGCTCTTGGCACCCACTGGCAGAATCCCGGAATCCCGGAAGAGGGAATAAAATGCGGGTTCGTGGGAAAGACCAGGCGTCCAGACCATCTGAGGCTTTATTGTTTTACCCCAAGGTTCCCGCAGTACTCAGGATAATGCATGCATTACCGGGCAGGCAGAGGGGGACTCTGCTGCAAAGCTTCAACACCATTGCAGGGCATTTATAGGTACACAGGTACAGGGCAATTGATGACAGAATGCAGAGATTACATTAAGATTCTGAGGTCATCACATACAGAGCAGATAAAGGAATGTCAGTCAATCACACAGTAACAATGAGATCGCAATATTTCTAATTGCCTGTACTGACACTTTAGTTGAGTAACTTGAACCCATCTCCAGGTCTGCTCAGACATGCAAATTCTAGCTACTAGAAACTATTTATGATAAGCGCAGACTCTAAACATTCTGCATGATCAGGGCACATGAAGCCCTCTGGGCTATCAAAAGATTATTGTAAACTGAATTCCAACAATGACTATTTACAATGTATATTCGGGCTAAAATGGCCTGTCTGCTGTAGCCCACGGCTAAAGGTGAGAGAAAGGAGCTGGGGAGGAAGGCCATTTTCAACAGTGACAGCTTGGTTTTGAGAAGGAAGGCAGGATTTGATCCCACAATGCAAAGGCCCACAGGAGTAATGCTTTTCAGACAGGATTCACCCAAATTTTCCCAACACCCCCCCTCCCCCGCGGCTGTGCTGGGGAAGCGCCAGGAGCCTGCGTGCAGCCGCACCTCCTGCCCGCCTCCCCGCCTCGTGTGGGCAGCCCCAGGGGGCAGCGCTTGCTGGGCACCTCGGGGGGCGGTGCAGCGGCTGCTGGGCGGAGAGGGAAGGGATCCGAATCCATCTGACTTCCAGAGGGCCCCTCAGGCTCCCGGCAGGGCTGTGCCTTCCGCACGGCATTCCCTTTCCTCCAGTCGGATTGGGTTGCTGCGCTGCTGCTGCTGCTTCTGCTGCAGGGTGGGGGCGGCTTGCTGGGGGGTCGTGAGACACCTCGGAAGCGCCACTGCAGGGGCCCTGCCGATACGGCCGAGCGTTTGCCAGGACACGGGCAGGTGCCTGCAGGCGCCTTCCGGCTCGCTTGGCCAGAGAAGGCGGCGGGCTGGCTCGGCCTGCTGCCCCGTGAGACCTCCTCCCGGGGGCTCAGACCACTGCCCATCTGGGGGGGGGGCTGTGGGGTGCCCAGGCAAGCCAGCGGCTCCTGCCTCGCCCTGCCCCAGGCCACAAAGCCGAGCAGGGGCCGGCCGCCTCGCTGCCCACGGGCTTCCTGTGCACACGGAAGGGGCTCTCCTGCCCTCCCCACGCCAGGGCACTGGCTGCGTCTCCCGTGGGATGCTCTCCGGGTTCCGTGCTGCGGGGCCGCGGCGCCGGAGCCTCTGCCAGCTCCTGGAGGCGGGTGCGTCAGCCAGGAGGCGGGTGCTGCCGGCCCACGTGGGGAGCGGCTCCGCCCCTGCCCGGCCCAGGGCCGGCGGGGGGAGCCGCGAGGGGGGAGGCCGCTTGCGCTGGTGGGGCTCGGAGTCGCCGCCACGTGACCCTCCCGGGCCAGGGCTCTCCGGCCCGGCAGCCTCGCCAGAGCAGCCCCTCTGTGGCCCCCACCCTGCCCGCCGGGAGCTCGCGGTGGATGTGCCGGGAAGGGCTCGGGCCGGGGGCAGCGGCTGCCTCCTTCCGCCAGCCCGCCAGCCAGATCTGAGGAGGTTCCTGTGTTCCAAGGCTGGCGGGCCCCCGTCTCCATGCGCGGGGTCCTGTGGCCGGGGCCGGTGCGGTGGTCGCAGCCTGCCGGGGGCTCGTGGGTTCAGGACGGGGTGTGCCGTGAACCGAGCCGGGGGAACGTGAGGAGGGCCTCGCGACTGGGAGGGGCCCCTGCTTGCCTCATCCCCCACCGCTCCCCGGCTCGGCACCCCGCCATTGCGCTCACGGGAACGCGCCCAGCCCAGCAGGGGGGGCCCGGACTGGGGGCACCGGCAGCCGCTTCCCCAGGGACTGAGGGAGACGCTGCGGCTTTGACGGGTCCTGCAGCACCGCCTGAGGCACAGCCCTCCAGCTGCTGGGGGGGCTCCCTGCCGCGGGGCTGGGCCACCCCCTCCCTGCAGACGGCGGATCGCGCTCCGTCATCGCCGCTTTCCCAACCGGCCCCGCGTGACGGGGCAGGCGCTGTCTGCTCGCCTTGGTGCGTTGCGTCGCGTCACTGGGTGCTTCCCGGCGAGGCATTTCCTGTGCTCCCGGCCGCCTTCCTTTCCTCTCCTCTTCCTTCCCTCCTCCTCCCCCGTGGCTGGAGGGGAAAGCAGGCCGACTGTGGCTTGATGTTTGTGCAGTGCTTTGTGCTGCTTACGCGATCAGACCTCTAAATGCGGACACGGTGCACCGCAAAAAGACCAGGCAACGAGGGAAGGGCTGCCCGGCGCCACGAGCGCATCCCGAGTGGGGTGTGGATTGCCAGGGCGGAGAGGGTCTCTGTGCTCGGGGTCACCCTGAGTGAGCTCCCCACAGGGGGAGAGTCGGCCGGGTTTTCCTGATGTGCCGACCCTTTCTCGTTGGAGGCGATTGGCTTTTTCTGTGGGGGGTTATTCTAACCCAGCAGGAGCCCATCAGCAGGGGCTCCCTCCTCTGCGCATGGTGCGTTCCAGGCCCTTGAACAGCTTTCCTTCGTCCGCTCTGTGCGCTGCCCGCCCTCGCCCCCCTGCGCAGGAGCAGTGGATGGTCTCGGAAGGGAGCCCAGAGCTGACTCGCCCCCTCGGACGGCCTCCCCTCCCGTCCCCTCCCCAGCCTCACTGGCTGCACGTAGCCATAATGCGGGGGCGCACCCCTGTCTGCCTTTAGCTCCCAGCATTCCCTGGCCGCTATCGCTGAGGATGCTGGGAGCGGTGGGATTCCCCTCCCACCTGCACCCTCAGGAGTTGAGCCCCCCGTTGGTTTGGAGGGCTGGGGGCTCCGAGTGTCCGTGCCTCTCTGTGCCCGAAGGCGACAGCCCCAGCAGGCACAGCCGGGGCATCGGCGGGGGAGCTGTGGGCGCACAGCGGCCTGTCGGCCACCCTCGTGCTCATGGCCACCCCGCTCCTGCGAGCTGTTTGCTCTGCCACCCCGGGGACTTCGGGTTTGGGCCCTCCGCCGCCATGGAATCCCTCGCGTGGGGCAGCCAAGCCCGTCCGCGCCTGGCTTTGACGCGTGCTCTCTGCCCGCTGCAGGTGGGGCCCCGGACAGCCCGGCGGTCGTGCGCTACAGCAAGGACCAGCGGCCGACCACGCTGCCCATCCAGCCCTTCGTCTTCCAGCACCACTTCCCTCGGGCAGCCAAGGCCCGGGCGCTGCACGGCCCCCTCGCCTCCAGCCTGGCCCAGCTCTACAGCCTCTCTGCCGCCGCCCGCCGGCCCGCCGGCCCGCCGCCCTCCTCGGCCTCGCAGTCCTCGGCCTCCTCCACCTCGGCCGACCAGCCCCTGGTGGGGGGCGCCCCGGGGCACGGCCAGCGCTCTGGGGACGGTGCCGCCTCCCTCGCCGACGGCGGCGCCAGGAAGCCTCTGCCGGAGACCACGCGCCCGTCCCCGCTGGGCAGCTACTCTCCCGTGCGGAGCCACGTGCCTTCCTTCCACGGCGTGGACTCTTCCTCCCGCTCGCCCACCCCGGGAGGCCACCCGCCGCGCAGCCAGTCCTGCCCGATCTCCGCCGGCCTCCTGCCCACCGGCAGGCCCTCCCCGGCCGCTGCCGGCACCGTCAGCCACGCCCCGCACCAGAAGGAGAGTCCCACGCCGGGCTCCGAGGAGGAGGGCACGGCGCTGCCTGAGCCCGTCAAGCTGCGTGCCACGTGTGTGCCCCCGGGCGGCACCCTGCTGCCCCTCCTGTCCGCGGGACTGGGCCTGGCTGGCACCGGAGGCCCCGTGGAGCCGCTGTGGAAGGCGGGCGGCAGCGAGGGCGCCGGCTTGAGCTCCGTGGGCGGCCTGCTCACTCGGCCCCTCAACGGTAGGTGGCGAGCGGCCCGTCCGGCAGGCCGCGGGGCGTGGGGCGGGCTCTTGCGTCGTCCTCCACTTGGGGCGCTCCGTGGGCCGGGGTCAGGTGTGCAAGGAGCCCCCGTGCAGCGTTCCTCGCGAGGGGCGTGCGGCGAGCTCCGGCCCTGGCTGGCGCTGCCCTGCAGGCGAGGACGGGTCCTCTTTGGCCGGCCTCCCGGCTCGCCCCTGCCCGGTGGGCTGGCGGGGCTGTCCCATGCAGCCCGTGCGCCCTGGTGGGGCGGTGGCTTGCCGTTGGGGGCGGGCGGAAGGCCAGGGCGGGGGGTGCGCAGCCCGCTTGCCCCCGCGTCGCACTGGCAGGACAGAGTCCAGGGAGGGCCCTGCTGTGGCCAGATGAACGGGGAAAACCCCACAAGGCGCCCTGGAGTCGCAGGGCCCGGCCAGCCCCATCTTGCGCTGCTGAGGCACTCTTGACGCGCAAGGGAAACACGCAGGGAGGACGGGCGGTCTCTGCGGGCGCCTGGAAAGGCTCGGTTTCTCGGGGGGCTCGTGGGGGGCAACTAACTGCTCCGCCCCGCTCGCCGGGCTCACAGCGCTTCCAGCCCGTCTCCCCCTTCCTCCCCACTAACCAGCTCTCTGTCCCCCCCACCTCCTCTGCCTCCCCGCCTCCCGCTGGCTTCTCTCTGGCCGCGCAGCCCACCACCTCTCTCCGCAAGCGCTCAAGTGGCGGGAGTACCGGCGCAGGAACCCGCTGGGGCTGGACCGGGCCCCGGGGCTCGCGGGCAGCCTGGACTGGAAGCAGCGGCACGAGCACGGGCTGCCCTGGAGGACCCCCCGCCTCGAGCTGCCCGGGGCCGCGCACGCAGGACGCTCCGGCAGCAGACTCAGCGGTGCGCCCCTCCCTCCCGCGGTCCCCCCGAGCGTGGGCAGCGCGGCCCCGGCCCGGCCCCGGGCCCCAGGGAGGGTGTCGGGCAGACGGGGTGTCGAAGCCCCGGGTGAGCCTGTCCTCGCCCAGCTGGCCCGGGCGGGATCCGGTAGCCGCGTGTGGCCTCCGCGGGGCTGGTGCGGCTCCGTCCCACGGGCCGCCGTCGTGGTGGGCGCCCCAGCACGTCCCGCCGTGCCCCCCGCGGTCGTGCCCTGGGAGCGGGTGGCCGGGGGCCGGCGACAGACGAGCGTCAGGACGGGGCCCCCGCCGCTTTCGAACTGGGGATAGCATGAGCTGAACTCTCCCGTGGGCCGGGCCGCTCCTCGCGCTTCTGGGAAGCCTCTTGGCTGACGGAACCCGCGGCCGCCGCCCCAGACCCATTGCTCAGCAATGGGGCCGCTCCCCGTGGCTCCTCCTGTGCCTGTCTCTTCCACCAGGAGAGCCCTTGGGTGCCGACCCGACCGGGCGCCTGGCAGCCTCGCTGGCCGGGGGCCGCACTCCACCGCCCCTGTAGCCCCCTGCCCGTGGAGCTGCCCTGGTGCCCCCCCCCCCACACAGCAGGCGCTCTGGCAGAGAGCTGCAGGTCCGAAGGTGTTGCGGGAGGGGCTGTCGGGGGACAGAGGAACCACGGGGCCACGTGGGGGGGCCCAGGCAGAAGGGGCCATTGCCAGGCCCCTCCTCTCGCTGGCCTGGGTGGGCGTGGCTGAGGCGGCGCCCAGTCTCACCCGGGAGGGCCCCGGGGGCTCCTGCGCCGTGCCCCCGCCTCCCGGGCCCAGCCGCATCCACGGAGCTGGTGCTGACCCGCCTCCGCCCCCTACAGGGCAGCCGGCGAAGCACCCGCAGCTCAGCTACTCCGACTTCTTCCCGGACTATTTCTCCTTGGCGGAAAAGCCCCCGGCAGAATTCTGCCTCTCGCCAGATGGCAGTGCCGAGTCGGTCTCCGTCGACCTGGGCCAGAAGAAGGGTAGGTCCTTCCTGCTGCTGCAGGCCGGGCGGGGGGCAGGGGGGGCGCCCTCGCCCACGGGCCTTTCTGCCGGAGGAGCTGCGGGGCCAGGCCTGCGCTCTGCCTGCGGGGCCCCGAGCCATGGCCCCGGAGCTGGAGGAAGGCAAGCCGAGGCAGCGTGGCTGGAGGGGCACAGTGTCCTCTTCTCCCCCAACGGCACTTCCGGGGGAGGAATCCAGCGCGGGCGCCTCTGGCGTGGGGGAGGAGTGGGGGGGGGAGGCAGGGCCACCCCGTCCAGAGCCCCCAAAGCGGCGCTGTGCCAGGCAAGGGCTGGCTCGCCCTCCCTCCCTTCCTGGGCCCCGGGACCCGTCCAGGGCGCTTGCCCTGCCCCGGTGGGCGGAACGAAGGTGGTTTGGGGATCCGGCCGTGGGTCGGTGTCCCTGGAGGCAGGCGCCCTTGTTTGCGGTGGGCATTTCTGTTGCGCGCCTCCTCTGCCCACGGAGCTCTGGGAGTGCAGCCCTCACGTGGCATGGCAGGCAAGGAGGCGGAATGGGGGGCAAGGCCCCCCCGCCGCCGGAACAGGACAGGGGCGACCCGGCCGCTCTCCCACAGCCGGGCTGAGCAAGGTGCTGCCGGCCCCGCGGAAGCCCCGCCAGCCGGCTGGTCGGCGGCCAGTGTCCGGGCGGCCCCTTCTTTGCGCCGCGTGTGTCCTGGCGGAGGCAGGGTTGCCGGGGGGGCGGGACGGGAAACGGCGGCTTGTTCCTGGACTGTCCCCCCCAGGAGACTCGCCTGGCGCCTTCCTGCCTTTCTTCTGGGCACCAGGCAAAACCTTCCTCTTTAAAAATTATTCTAAGAACCAATTGCCGAAACACCTTTGTTTTGTATTTCTTGCTGTATTTTATTGTTGTTTTCAAAGTGCTGCTGGTCTTGCTTTGCTTTTCCTGTGCCTGTGCCTTGTGGCCCTGAGCCGCCCAGAGCTGCTCTGGCAGAATCGGGCAGCAAGCAAATGCTCGAGAAGTGGAAAAGCAGACCCTCGGGGACGTTTTCGGGGAGAAGCGGGCATCTGGGGCCAGAGAAGTGCGTTCAGTCCCCGGTTGGGGCCCGTGGCTGGGCCGCCACGGGGCTGCTCACGCGCTTCTCGTCGTTCCGCTGAGCAGGCCTCGTCAAGGCGATCAACATGGCCGTGGATCTGATTGTGGCGCACTTCGGGACCAGCAGGGACCCCGGGGTGAAGGTGAGCCGGGCTCGGGGGCGTGTGCTGGGGAAGAGTGCCGGCCTCGCGTGTCCCCGGAAGGGCCGAGGCAGCAGCCTGACCCCACCCCGCCTGCTCCACTGTGCCCCAGCCTCACGGGGACCTCCGGCTGCGGCAGCGCAGTCCCGGGAGATGCAGCCAGACATGCTGTGGAGGGAAGGGGCCGTTTTCCTTTAGCTGCATCGCCTGGTCTGGGCCGAGGCGGCTTTGAGGTCTGCGGCGGTGGCGGCACCGTGGTCCTTCTGCCGCCAGCGCCCCTGCGACTTCCTTGTCTTGTCCTGTGTCAGAACAGCCCCGGGGGCTCGTGGTGCAGCCACGAGAGAGCCACAGCGTTGCGCCGGCCTGGGGGCCTCGCCAGCTCCCCTCTCACCCCAGCCCGTCGCGTGGCCTGCCCCGAAAAGGTCACATGGTGGCCGGCCAGCACACACCCACAAAAGCGGCCGTGCCCCGGGGCAGAGGGCAGGCGCGTTGGAAGCGGCCGTCTCCCGGGCGGGACCCCGGGGCCCTCGCCCTGCTGTCTCCCGGTTAGGCCATAGGTTGGGCGGGCGTCCGGCGGAGGGCTTCCTGCCCCGCTGCGTGCCGCTTTCGCGGGAGGCGCTGCAGATGGAACGAGGGGCCCGCAGCGTGGGAAGCGGGCGCTCTGCCCTGGCTCCTGCGCTTGGGGTGCGGGACAGGCAGGCAGCGCGCCGGCACAGGCTAACCGGTGCCTCCCTCTCCCCACTTGCAGGCCAAGCTGGGGAACAGCTCCGTGAGCCCCAACGTGGGGCACCTCATCCTGAAGTACCTGTGCCCGGCCGTCAGCAGCGTCCTCGGCGACGGGCTCAAGGCCCACGTGCTGGACGTGATCGTGGGCCAGCGGCGGAACCTGCCCTGGAGTGTCGTGGAGGCATCCACCCAGCTGGGTACGAAGCGCTTCTCCGCCGCGCGCTCTGTGTGCCGGCTTCCCCACCACCCCTTGGCGGAGCCCCCCTGCTCGCGCTCGCCCCCCGCCCCTTCGCCGCGTTGCACCGGGCACCGACAGGGCGGCCTGCAGAGGCGGGGGGCAAGGCGGCCTCCTGCACACAGCATCAGCCCCCCTGTGGGGCCACGGGCCGGGCCGGGGTGCAGCTGGGGTGAGGGGGGGCGGCAGTGCCGGAGGGGAGGCAGGGAGGGAGTGCGAGTGGGACGCGGGTGCCGCGCCCTCCGCTCGCTCGGCCGCCTCGGATGATTTCCACGGGCTGCCCAGGGGAGGGGGGCCATGGTGGGCGCAGCAGGCCGGCAGCCCCTCTGCCATGGGGAGTGGGGGGGCAGCCGTGCTTTCCCGACCCCCAGCTGGGACCAGGTGTGGAGTTGGTGGTTCCCGGGGGGCCCGGCCAGGCGCCCCTGGAGTTGCGTGGGAGTGAGGGCAGAGCAAGGCGTGTGGGGCGCAGACCCCAAGGCTGGTGGGGCCTGCGCGGCAGGGGTGGACCGGGGGTGTCCTGGGGGAGCAGCAGGCCGCTCGGCAAAGGTGCCAGCCCGGCGCGCGGAAGGAGGGCTCCAGCGAGCGTCCTTCGGGAGGCCGTGCTGGCCGCCCCTGGCTTCCCTGCGCCCGCGTCCGCTGTGCTTGACCCACCTCAGCAAAGGCGTTGCTGAGCTGGGAAGGGCAGGAGGCGCGCGCAGGCGTCTAGCAGACCTGCGCCGCATCCCCAGAGCGCCGCTCCTGCCGCGCGGTGCCCCAAGCACCCGAATCCTCCCGGGCAGCTCGGCAGCCAGAGTGCTGCTCGCCCGCTTCTCCCTCTGTGCCAAGTGGACGGGGCGTCTCCTTGAGGGCCCCTCTTGGCTCCAGCCACTTTGCCGCGGCCCTTTGCGGGCAGATCCTGATGCCGGAGCCGCGGGCCCCGAACGCAGCGGGGCCTTTGCGGCGGGGATCCAGGCTGGCATGACCACGGCCTGCGGGGCCAACGCCCGGCCTTCCGTGGCGCCTTTGCTTTGATTCAAGTGCTACCTTTTCTTACTGGCATCTTCACAGACTCAGCTATGCATCAGTCAAACGCGGGGTATTCGCATCTCCTAACAGGAAATCTTGCTGTGCCTGAAACAAGGGGAGTCGTTCTGATGAGGAAATTGGGCAAAAGTGGACTAGACAGGGAAACGATTAGGTAGATCCGGAAGGGGCTGCTAAAGTGGCTCCTTCCCGGACTGGAGGCAGGCAACTGCGGGGGGGCCGCGGGGTCCAGTCCAGGGCCCAGCCTCTTCAACATCTTTATTAAAGATTTAGATGAGGAAGTAAAGGAAAGATGTGCAGACGATGCATAACTGGGTGGAATACCACACACCCTAGAACAGTGGTGGCCAACCTCTGGCACGCGGGCCACAGCGGCACGCAGAGCCCTCTCTGTCGGCACACGGGCCAAGTCCCCCTGGCATCACCCCGGTGGCCGAGCATCGGATAACAGCGCACATAGGGGCCATGGGCATGCTTGGAAAGGGGTACCGGCGCCAGGTCATGAGGTCACTATCCGCGACTCCTTAGCCACGACTCGCCCAAGCTTTTGCATAGCCGGTCAGTGCGCTGCTGATTGATTGGACTGGCTGTGAGTTGTTTTTTTAAAACCAAACCTCTGTTTTCAGGTTTTATTGTAGTGTTGGCACTTTGTGATAAATAAGTAGGTTTTGGGTTGAAGTTTGGGCACTCGGTCTCTAAAAGGTTCGCCATCACTGAGTTAGGGTTAGGAAAACAAGGTCTCCTGGCATGATTTTGATGGCTGGAATGTGTTTAGAATAGGCAGAAATGTTGAGCTGTGCAGAAAAAGCTACTCAAGGGAGGCTTTCTGAAAATTGCATTATTTTCAGTGCAGCTTTAGCCCTATATTAGGGTTAGGGGTGTTCACCAGGGTAGGGTTAGGGTTAGAAAAACGAGGTGTCCTTGCATGATTTTGATGCTTGGAATGCGTTTAGAATGGGCAGAAATGATGAGCTGTGCAGAAAAAGCTACTCAAGGAAGGCATTTTCAAAATCGCCCTCTTTTCAATGCAGCTTTAGCCCTATATTAGGGTTAGGGGTGTGCACCAGGGTAGGGTTAGAGTTCGAAAAACGAGGTGTCCTGGCATGATTTTGATGCTTGGAATGCGTTTAGAATGGGCAGAAATGATGAGCTGTGCAGAAAAAGCTACTTGAGGAAGGTGCGGCCCAGGATGGCGGTGTCTGGAGGCCACCCTGCCCTGCCCCCCGTGGACCGGAGCAGGCGACCCTTCCCAGGCCAAACCATTCCAGACGCCGACCCAGACGTAGCAGATCCCCTGCACTCCTCAGACCTCGCCTGGAAGGCTGCGTGCAGGTCTGCCAGCACGATTTAAGAAAGATGCAGGTAAATCAGAAGGGGTCCAGCAGAGTATGGGAGCAGCAGGGGGCTCGGCTCGATGGCCTCCTGGCCCCCTTCCAACTCTGCTATTCTGATTCATCGGTGTTCCCAGCAACTCTGGAAAATAAACAAACAGAAAATAAATTATTCCCCGAGAGACTCGGGCAGCCTTGCTCTCGGTCGCCACCTCCCCAGGATGGGTGCTCAAATCCCGTCCCTACGCCAGTGTGCGTGGGCTGGGGCCCGCGGGCCGGGCCCGATCCTGACCCGGCGCGTGTCCTCCTCCACAGGGCCCTCCACCAAGGTGCTGCACAGCCTCTGCAGCCGCGTCAGCCAGTGCGGCGAGCTGAGCAGCCACGCCATGCGCTTCAACGCCTTCATCTTCGGCCTCCTCAAGTACGAGCGACTCCCAGGGGGCCGCCGTCGCGGTCGCGGCTGTCTGGGTGGGGCGAGCATCCGGGGAGGGGGTGTGGGGGGTGGGCGCGTGGGGCCGCCCCCGGGGCATCAGGGCAGCACGCAGGGCGGAGGCCGGTGGGGGACGGCAGCGAGAGGCAGGAAGCGCGCAGCTCGCCCGCGGCAGGGAAGGCGGGCCGCCCTGATGCCTGGGGGTGGCACGGGCGGCCCCCCTGTGTGCCCAGGATGCTCGGATCGGGGCCCCGTGAGCCCCACGCACCGCCTGCCCGTGCGTGCTCCCAGGGGCCCTGTGGGGAGCTCAGGCCTGCCTCTCGCACGGCCGGGGAGCCCCGCTGTCCCCGCAGGGAAGCTCTCGTGTGGGAGCGGCTGCTTGGCTTGCCGGCCCGACTGCGCGCAGGCACCTTTCGGGGAGACTGTCGTGGGCCATGGGGCCCCAAGGAGGCCCCCGGGAAGCCCTGCCCCGTGTTGTGGGGCCCCGAGAGACCGCTGTGGAACGTCCCGCCACGCCTTCCCGGTGGGAAAAACCGAACAGCCCCGCGGCGACCCGCACTCCCAGGGGGCTCCAGCGGGCACTTGGCCCCCACCCCGCCTGTCCTCCCCACGGCTGGGGCTCCCCGGTTCTCACTGCGCCTTCTCGCTTTCCCCACAGCCTCCGGTCCCTGGAGTTCTGGTTCAACCACCTGTACAGCCATGAAGGTGAGCGCACTTGGCTGTGGTGGCGGGGGGGAGGGGGGCGCCAGGGGCTGGTGGGGGGCAGGCCAGGGCTTGGCCCAGCCGGGGGATGGGTGCCAGGTGGGGGTCGCAGGCAGCAGCACTCGTACTCAGTCCAGCGGGCGCCGGACCAGGAGCTGACCGTCCCATGCTGCAGGGGGGGCATGCCCTGTGCCTCCCAGACAGACCCTGTGTTTGCCCTGGCTCTGACACTTGGGCTGAGGGAAGCTGGGGGGGCCGCACTGTCCGGGGGAGCTGGAAGCCCAGGAGCCCCTCCTGTCTGGCCCTTGCCCCAGGGCTTGGGTGGGTCGTGCAGGCCCCCCGCCCCGAGGCTGCTGCGCCTTCTTCCCTGTGCGGGCCTGCCCCCCCGCCTGTCTGCCTGCCGGGATGGAACTGTAGGGGTGTCCGGGAGCAGAGCCTTTGGGGGGGCGGTGGCCTGGCCGGTTGGAGAGGGAGAGGGAGAGCCGTGCAGGCCCCACGGGCCCCTGCCAGGCGACGGCGGCCACACGCGTACTCTGCAGCGGGGCTGGCGGGGGCCCTCCTGGGCACGGGCCGGGGGGAGGAGGGGGGGCGGCACCGAGGGGCCTGCCTGCCGTGACCGGCCCCCTCTCCCGCCGCAGACGTCATCCAGGCGCACTACCAGCCGACGGGCTTCCTCGCGCTGGCACACGGGCTGTGCCAGGGCCTCTTCGAGGAGGTGCTGCTGCTGCTGCAGCCCCTGGCGCTGCTGCCCTTCAGCCTGGACCTCCTCTTCGAGCACCGCCTGCTGCAGACGGGCCGCACGCAGCGCCAGCAGAAGGAGCTGCTGTGCGCGCAGCAGGGCCTGGTGCTCTCGGCGCACTCCACCCTGCAGCTCATGCGCGCCCACGGGGGCGGCCGCCCGGGGAGCGCCGATGGCTGGGCGGCCGCCGAGCAGGACGCCGGACCCGAGGGCTGCCGGGGCAGCCTGGGGAAGGAGGCCGACGCGGGCGCAGACGTGGGCACGGGTCCGGGGGCCCCCTGCAGCGGCCGCGAGCGGAGGAGGGCCCGGGACGGCCCCGCCGAGCCGAAGAAGGACCGGCAGGCCAGCTGGTGGTACCAGCTCATGCAGAGCTCCCAGGTCTACATCGAGGGGGCGGCCGAGGGCGCTCCCCGCATCCGCTATGAGCGCAGGAAGAAGGCTTTGGTGGAGGGCGCCGGCCGGCAGGGCGAGCCCCGGAGGGCCCCCCCACCGCGGGAGGGCGTGGTGGAGGGGGCCGAGGCCTGCCCCATCACCGAGGCGGCCCTCAAGGGAAGAGCCCCGCCGGAGGAAGAGCCCTCGCGCATGCAGCCGTCCTCTGCTGGGGAGGCGGCGCAGGAGAAGGGCCGGCCCCGCTGGATGGGCAGCCCGCCGGACTCGGTGCTGACGGAGCTGAAGCGCGTGAAGGAGGCGGAGGCGGAGAGCGGGCTGGCCCCGAGGCCGGGGAGCCCGGAGCAGCACAGCGCCCACGGCCCCGGCAGCGGCCCGCCCAAGTGGGGGCACCTCTTTGGCTCCCGGAAGGTGCCCAAGGAGCCCCGGCAGGCCAGCAGGTAGGGGGGCCACAGCCTGGGATAAGGGCAGCTGTGCCACATGGGCTGTGTGCGGAGGGCTGGGAGGGACAGTGGGCAGCTGCTGGGGCGGCGGGGTGAGGGGGCCGGGTTCTCGCTCTGGCGCATCCTCGGCTCTGGCGGCACGGCGATCGCCCCCGCAGCGAAAGGCACCGCGTGAGGATGTGCCAGTGAGGCAGGGCCCCCCACGTGGCCACGCGGCAGGGCAGCTGCTGCGAAGGGGCGAGTCGGACGGGACGTGTCCGTGGGGCAGAGCCGCGCAGCCGCTCGGATGGCGATCAGAAGCGCTCCCCCGCCAGCGCCAGCGACAGCCACCGGAGTGCGGGCCCCGAAATGTCCCTGCCGCGTGGCCACGTGGGGGGCACTGCCTCACCGGCACTTCCTCACGCAGCGGCTTTCGCAGGGCCGGGGACGGGACACGGGAGGGTACCCCTCGCAAGCAGCAGGTCCCAGAGTGGGGTCCCTGAGGGAGGCCTGCGGGGGGGGGCGCTCTGGGGCACAGAGGAGGGGCATTTCAAGCCCCCCCCCCCCCGGCTCCAGGCAATCTGCAGGACTGTCTCCGTTTCTGAATGACTGGAGGGCAAGGCCCGGGGAAGCGGGAGGGGGCAGGGAGTCTCCACGGGGAGCGCGGCCCGGGGTGCCCACCTCCCATGCTCAGGGCCGTGCCCGCGCGCCCCCTTCCCGCGTTTGCTCTCCTTGTAGGCTGCCGTCCGGCTGGCTGAACCTGGATCGCTCCGTGTTCCAGCTGGTGGCCCAGACCGTGGGGGCCGGCGCGTGGCGGGAGGCTGCCCTGGAGCCCCGGAGGCAGCCTGCAGAGCTCTCCCCACCGCGGTCCGAGGGGGCCGGCACGTGGCTGGACAGGAGCACGCCGCCCGAGGTGCCGTGGTGAGTGGCGTGGGCCGGGCGGATGGCGGAGGCAGGCGAGCGAGCGAGCGGGACGGGTGGGCGGCCCCAGAGCTTCTTACCGGCCCCTTTCGTCCTGCCGGGCCCCGGCTCGGCCTCGTGGCATGACGTGCCAGCTGCCAGGCAGGTGCCCTCCGGGCGTGCCCACTTTGGTGACCCCTCCGGGGGCCGCTTTGCCTCGAGCCCTTGCAGCCTTGGGGAGGCGCGGGGCACGAGCTCCGCCATCTTGGGCAGGGGGCACACCAGGGCTGGGTGAGTGCAGATTCCTCGGGCTGGAGGGGCCCAGGCGGCCACATCGGATCAGCCCCGCGCCAGAGGCCGGCTTGCCTCCGTGGTCCGCTTTCCTGCAGTGCCCCCATTTTGGGATCTGGGACATGGTGCCTCCCCCCATTCCTTGCACTCCTGGGAAGAGCGCCTCCTCCCATGTAACCCAAAAGGCATCTGCCCTGGGGCACATTCAGCTCCCAGGACCCCAAAACGCCACTCTGTCAGATAACGTACCCCAGGAAGAGGGGGAACCCGAAAGCAGAGCAACGGGAGGGGGTCCGCGTCTGGAGGAGGGGCTGGAGAGCGAGGAGGCCCGGCCCACGCCTTTCCGGGGCTCCCTTCTTGCTCCCGTATTTCGTTACAGCTTGCTGCCCGTCGGGGGAGCGCAGCGCTCTGGAGGGGGCGCAGACAGTCATTAAGCCCTGCTGGGGGCGATGCCAGCGGAGCCCTTCCCCCTCTTTCTGGAAGCCCCCCGGAGGAGCATTTGGGGAGCGTCCGTTGTGGGGAGGGGGTGTCCCTGCCAGGCCCCCCAGAAGGGCTGCTGGCCGCGGCAGGGTCTGGGCTGGAAGGGGCGCCAGGGTCTCCCTCCCCTCCCCTCCCCTCCCCTCCCCTCCCTGCGCGGTGCAGCTGCCTGCTGGGGCGGGAGACGCAAGGGCGCGGTTGGGCGCATCCCGGCTCGGCTCCTGCGCTCACGGCCGCGCCCTTCTCTGCAGCGGGGTGAAGGCGCTCTGCCACCACATCGCCACCGAGGCCGGGCAGCTGAGCTTCCGGAAGGGGGACGTGCTGCGCGTGCTGGGCAAGGCGGACGCCGACTGGCTGCGGTGCAGCCGCGGGGCCGAGACCGGGCTGGTGCCCATCATGTACGTCACCCACGTGGAGGACGAGGACTACTGAGGGCCGGTGGCCGCGCCGTGGAGCAGAGACCGGCAGGGCGCCGGCGGAGGCGGCCGCCCCCCGCGCCCGGAGCAGCCTCGGGACGGAGCTGCTCTGCCCTGCGCCCCCGCCTGGGGCTCGCCGTCCGGAGCCGCGCGGCCCGTGTGCTGGGCGTGCTCCTCCCCTCCCGCCTGCAACATCCTTCCGACACGGACTTGGGGCCCCCGGGACTCCCGCCACGGGCGGTGGAGCGGCCCACGTCACGCCGCGGCCCCAGCATGCATGGCTTCCGTTCCATCTGTGCCAACGGCGCCACAGCGGGACTCCAGGAAGCCCCGCCGCACCCCTGCGGGTCCCTGTGCTAACACGTATACATAGGTAGGTAGGTAGGTAGGTAGGCAGGCGGCCACCGCATCGCATCCCGTGCCCGCCACGCTGCAGGGCCACGTGCAGCCGGCCTGGGCAGGACCACCTGGAGGGTTTCTAGCTTGGGGGGAGGGGGGAGGGGGAGCCCCAGGGAGGCTGCCAGCGCACCTGCGCCTGCCGTGGTTGGCTAGCGGCTGTTCCACGTTAGAAGCAGCTGGCCTCCGGGAGTTGCCCACTGGGCAGCATCGGGGGGGGGGCGCGGGTTGGGGCAGGGCGATGCCTGCAGCCCCCGGGGGGCCTCAATCGGCAGCGCCCGCCTTGCGTGGGGGAGCAGCGGGGCAGAGCCGGGGGCTGGCGGAACAGCCTCTGCCCCGGGGGGGAAGGGGCTTCTCCAGAGTGGGAATGCCCTACTCCGTGCTGTGCTGTCTTCCCAGCACTGGGGGAAGGGGCTTCTGGCCCAGGCGCCCGCCTGCACCCCCACGGAGCCAGTGGCCAGTATTAAGGCCGAGGCCCGCCGGCCTCATCCATTCCAGGGGGGTCGCTGATGCTGTGCGTGGTTCTTCTGCAGATGGCGCCATATTTAATTTTCCCTTCCGGCATTAGAACAGGGTGTTTTGTCTGTATTTATTTCTTTATTTATGACGCATATTAATAAAAAAGGTGCTGATGACGCCGTCCCTGCACTGTCACCAGAGTCTGCTCCCAGTTCTGGGCAGGGGCTCGCACGGTGCCCAGACTGTGCCCCCCCCCCCCCCGCCGCCACTTCAGCAGATGCAGCAGCAAAGAGTTCCCCGAGGAGGCAGAAGGGCGGGGAAGGGAGGAGGGAGAGGATCCCCGGCAGAGTTGGGGAGAGGGATCACGAAACCGGGCTGGAGAAGGGGGTCTGCCGGGACGCGCCAGGGGCGTGACGGTCTCTTTCGCATCCTTATGGAGAAAAACGCTTTCTGAGCCCCTCACCCCATGGCGCGTGGGGCTGGCTTTCCCCGGTGAAGGGTGAGGAGAGCGTCCGCATCCCCGCTTGTCCCCAGACCTCCCCCGTCAGCTGCTTTTTCTGGCAGGCAGCAGCCCCCTCTGCCCCCTACCTGCAGCCAGGCATTTCAGTCACCGCCCCTGTGGGAGCCCCATCCAGACGGCCGCCCGTGCCGGCAGCAGCCCCCTCTTTGGGGCTGGGGCAGCGTGGAGGAGCCTCCGTGTGGCTCCCCGGCAGCGCTCCAGGATGGTCGCCCTCCGCAGGACTTCCTGCTGCAGCATGCGGCCACCATCCAGCGCACGGCACCTCCCCCTGCAGAAAGGCCCGGAGGTGCCTCCTGCCCCAGCCAGCCAGCCAGCCAGCCATTCCCAACACTGGCTGGCAGCAGCAGGGTCTGGGCAGGTGCATTTCCAGCCGCACCTGCAGCTGCTGCGGGGACTGGACTGGGACCTTCTTCATGCCCAGCAGGAGCCATTTCAGGGAGCTCCTGCCCGTGCCCCGGCCCCCCAAATTTGAGGCAACCCGACTGATCCCCTTCTGGAGCCGGTTCTCATATTTACCATATTTTTCCATCTAAGATGCCCCCATGTATAGGATGCTGCCCGCTTTTGTTACCCAAAATTCAGAAATCAATAGAAGACATTTTAGAAACAGAGAAACAGAACGAGTCAGAAGGGGCTTCCTGGGCCATCTAGTCTGACCCCCGGCTCCAGTCATGTCCGCTCACGACATGCCCACCATGTGCACATCCAGCCTGTCCTTGGACACCCGCACCGATGGGGCCTCAGCCACCTCCCGGGGACGCCCATTCCTCACCCTCGGGGTCCCGACTGTCAGGAAGTGCTTCCTGGCATCCAAATGGAACCTGGGTTCCCTGAGCTTTGCTCCGTTGCAGCGCATCCTGCCCTCCTCTGTAGGGGAGAACAGGTCTCTACCCATCTCCGTGTGACACCCGCTCACATGCCTGTATGTCACCAACATATCCCCTCTGAGTCTCCAGGCTGAAGAGACCCAGTTCCCTCCGTCTCGCCTCATACGGCATCCCCTGCAAACCGGCCACCAACCTTGTGGCCCTGCGCTGCACTGACTCCAACCTGGCTATATCCTTCCTGTAATGAGGGGCCCAAAAGTGAACACAATACTCCAATTGTGGGCGCACCAGAGTCATATAGAGTGGCAGTAATACCCCTCTCGATCTAGAAGCCACACTTCTGGCTATGTAACCAAGGGTGGCGTTTGCCCTCTTGACCACCGCCTCACATGGCTGGCTCACGTTCAGCCTGCAGTCAACCAGTCATTTTAGTTAGTGATCCGGCAACATTTGCATACCAGTGCTGTGACCTTATGCATCACACTTGGCTCTGAGCAGATCATTCTGTTCAGCCTCTGTAGCATCGCCTTTCGTTTCAAACACGGATATCCGTCTCTTCAGCTCCTGTTGCATCGCTGCTGCCTGCTGAGTCACTGTCCATGTAGCCGAGAGGGTCCTCACCGACTGCGGGCATTTTCTGCGCTCGTTTCGTGTTCTTGTGGCCAGCCCTCCTCAGGAAGTGGAGCACCACGCTGCCTTTCCTTAAAATCAGCCATCTTCATTGCGCTTGCAAACGCTCTCGCCCGACATGGTGACGCACGGGAGCCTCTCTGGCGCTGCCCCAAAATCCAAGCCTTAAGCCTCTGCTCCAGGCTTGGCTGTTTTGCTGGCTTTCCTCTCAAGGCCACCTTCTCTTTTGGCCTCTTAAGGAGCTGTTCTTCCTGTTTTCTCCACTGCCTGATCATACACTCAGTGGGAGGAGGTCCAAACGGTCCCTCCGCAGCTCTGTTTCCACGCTCTTCAGCATAACCGATTACATCCCGTTTAAATTTTGCAGAGTAAGGCATTCGCTTACCGGTACCGGTATTTATTTTTCGTTTCTGACATTTTACGGGTCAGAACGCTCCGACATTACCGCTCCCCGTCACATCTGGGCATGGCTGCACTTTCCCCGCAGCATCAGCAGAAGCCAGTTGCATAAGGCTCGCGAGCGGAGACCTGCTAGCTGTCTCTGCAATTGCAAGTTTGCTCGTGAGGCTGCTTTGCAGAGATGAGGTATAAGCGGTTTTGCAACCACAGTTCTCCCCACCCCCACCCCGGTGTATAAGACGGCCCTCCATTTTTAGGTAAATATTTTTAAGAAAAATTGCCGTCTTACACACGGAAAAATACAGAGGTGTTTCCCAGGCCCACTCCGGGGAAGTGAGCCAGAGGCGGCATGGCCCGCTCTCTTCAGAGGGCTCCGGGGGGTGCTGAGGAGCAGCGGTTCCTTTCTGTCTCGGCCGGGATGTGGCCGGCTTGCCCCTCCCGAGAGGAATGCGGACCTGAGCACAATCTTCGCTCTGAAATCGGCAGACTCCTCTGCTTGCAGTGCAACTTATGGAAGAACGAAAAATAAACTGTAGGAGGTACAGAAGCACCCGAGTCAGTTGAAAAAATGTACGGAATGGATGCATCAGGAGAAACATACGTGGAAATACGCTATTTGGTGTAAATACCCACAATCTGGCGTGAGGCGGAGCAAGCCACAAAGCGGGGGCTGCGGGGCCGTGGCACGGCCTCACCTGTTCCTCGATGGGTCTGCTGAAGGGAGGGCAATCTGGGGGAGCTGCTGCTGAGCCGAGCTGGGCCGGGGCTTGTGTGGAGGGACGAGGGGGGCTGGTCGGGGAGCCCAGCTCTGCTCTTGGGTCTTCCAGTGGGGCCTGGACTGTCAGCCCACCAGAGGTGAGGTGGGACTGCATGCTGCGGACACCCTCCGTCCACGCTCATTCACCTTCGGTCGCTTGCGGATGTTCAGATCTCCGGGCGGCAGCTCCGGTCGCTTGCGAACTGCCCCCACCACCTGCAGGGACGTGCCCTCCCTCCCCTCAAGCAGGTCGGCCCCCATTGCTTGGACCCCAAAGATGGCCCCTCTGAAGGGGGGCGACATTCTGCAGGGCTTGCCTTAATTCCAAGCCGATCGCTAGATCCTCGAGCGTGGTGGGAAAATGTGCAGCGAATGGCCGTGTCCCGTGTCCACTTCCACTGTTTTCTTCCGGATGGGCTCAGCCTCAGAACCGCACGCGTCGACCCAGGCAGGCCCCTCGCTCTCGAGGCCGGCGGGATGCCTGGAACCGGGCTGTGCCACTGCCCCCGCTCCAAGCGGGGCCAAAAGGAAATGGGCCGCCCTTGTCCCAGGGCCGTCTGAACAGCATGATGGGCCCCGGGCAAAGCCGTGCACTGGGGCCCCTGTGACAACGACGATTAACTACTGTTAATTTTGAAGGTTTTCCAATTTTCCAAGGGATAACATACATGGATCAGTATGGGGCCCACAGGCAGGTGCCCATCAGGCCCAGGTGTTCGAGGGCCCCGCCTTGTCCTCGAAAGCTGCCCTCCCAAGAGCAGCTACACGGTGCAGATGCTGCTCCTGGCGCTTGGCGGGCAGGGGAGGAGCGGCCGGAGCCCCACGGGAAGGCCTGTGGCCCTGCCCCGCTCGCCTGCCCCCCAGCAGGGGGTGAGAGACCCTCTGGGGCAGGCCTTTGCCAGGGCGGGAACTCCTTGCCATTTTTCCGGCCTCAGCGCCACCCTCCGAGGACTGTCGCCCGTTTGCAGAGCATTCGGTCGAGCACCCGGCCCGAGGGGGAGGCAGTGGGGAGGCTGCTCCGATCAGAGGCCGGCTCGAGGCACGAGCCCCCCCCCCCCCCCCGGAGCCTGCACTGAGGGTCATGAGGGCTGGAGCCTTAGCGGCGCCCACGCAGCCTTGCCTGCCAGCCCGGGGCTGCGGGAGCCCCCCACGTGGCCATCTGCCAGCTCCTGGGGGGCTCGCAGGAGGCAGGGAGGCGAGTCGCCCCGCCCGCAAGCGGGGGAGGGGCAGCAGGCCCATTCGGCCCCTGCAAGCGCTTCCGTGCCCGTGAGCACTCGCACAAGATGGCTGCCCGAGGCACCGCGCCCGGGAACGCGTGCGCGGCGGGGCTGCCAGCCCCCCGGGCATCCGCTGCCCCGCCGGAGCACGGGAGGGGAGGGGAGGGGAGGGCCGGGGGTGGCGGGCGAGCGGCGTCGCCCGGGGCAGCCCCGAGTGCCCCGCCGCCGAGCTGCCGCACCGCGGCCGGCCCTGCGCAGCCCGCGCCCCCCGCAGGATGCCACCCGCGCGCGCAGGCTCCCCC